TCTAGATGGGAGCATATGTTGTTCTAGAACCTGAACATAGTTCTCTGCATTAATGGTGCCTTTCCAGACATGCAAGCAGCCCATGCCACAAGCGCACATGCAACCCCATACCATCAGTGATGCAGGCTTCTGAACGGAGCGTTGATAACAACTTGGGCTATCCTTGTCCTCTCTGGTCCGGATGACATGGCGTCCCAGTGTTCCATAAAGAACTTCAAATCGTGACTCATCTGACCACAGAACAGTCTTCCATTTTGCCACACTCCATTTTAAATGACCCCTGGCCCAGTGCAAATGTCTGAGCTTGTGGAGCTTGCTTAGAAATGGCTTCCTCTTTGCGCTGTAGAGTTTCAGCTGGCAACGGCGGATTGTACGGTGGATTGTGTTCACTGACAATGCTTTCTGGAAGTATTCCTGAGCCCATTTTGTTATTTCCTTGACAGTGGCATTCCTGTTTGAGGTGCAGTGACGTTTAAGGGCCCGGAGATCACGAGCATCCAGTAGTTTTATGGCCTTGACCCTTACGCACAGCGACTGGACCAAATTCTCTGAATCTTTTGATGATGATATGCACGGATGATGATGATAACTTAAAAGTATTTGCTATTTTACACTGGGTAACATCATTCTGGTATTGCTGCACTATCTTTCTGCACAACAATGGTGGAATTGGTGATCCTCTTACCATCTTGGCTTCTGAGAGACACTGACACTCTGAGAAGCTCTTTTTTATACCCATTCATGTTGTCAATTGACCTAAATCATGTTGTCAATTGACCTAAATAGTGTTAATTGGTCTTCCAGCTCTTCGTTATATGCTCAATTTCCCTTTTCCAGCCACTTATTGCTACTTCTCCCAACTTTTTTGGTATTTGTTGACACTGTGAAATTTTGAATCAACATATTTTCGCTTTAAAATGTTACATTTACTCAGATTAAACTTTTGATCTGTCATCTATGTTATATTACGAATAAAATATTGACATTTGCCATCCACATCATTGCATTCAGTTTTTATTCACAATTTGTTTAGTGTCCCAACAGTTTTGGAATCCGGTTTGTACATGCTTAACGTTGGAACTGAATAAATCATATTTTACATTAACCGAGCTGAAAATGTTTATTTGAAGCCACCGGAAGTAATCTGATTTTAAGACAGTCAGAAAGAGCAACAAGCAAGCTTGCTGTCCAAATGGCAGTCAGAACTTCTATGATCCTGTAGCTATCTATTGTAGCAATAATTTACACACTGACCAACAGCACATGGATTAGATGTCCAAATTTTGTGTTTCTCAACAGAATATAATATGAGTGTGAGAAGAGGAACTAGCTTTTAGTAGTTATTTTTTACCACATGCAGTTTTGGTAACCTCATCGAGCCGATCAGATCATGTGGGGCATAGTGGATTTAAACATTTCTTATCATTCAAGAAGCTTTCAAAGCAAAGAAACAAAAAGGTTTGGATTTAATTTTAGGTAATTGTTACTAGTATGTGTGGAACATTTTTATTTACTACCGGTATTCACGTTTTGTCATTAACTGCAGTGACGCAGTATGAACAATATACTAACGTTCTGACAGGAGCCGCATCCTGAAGACATTCTGGGTAAATGTCCTTATCAGTACAGGCTTAATAACTGCCAAGACCATGACGTCATGCACCTTTATGATGTATACTGTGTACACTTTCATTGATCATTGTGTCTTTTGTTGTAGCCGTACCTCTTCAGTGGTGTGAATGAGGGAGACATGGCAGACCGCACGCCACCTCTGGAGTCTGGCCAGATTCTCAGCCCTGAACTCCCAATCCTGGCCTCACCACCACCCTCAGCCATGGTTAATGGGGAGGGCCCCCAGCAGGTACAGACAGACCCATGTACTCTGATCTCTTTCTACCTTGCTATGTTCATTTTGCACTGACTTGGACCAGAACATTGTATTTCTTTTGAAATTATTATTATTATTATTATTTTTTAATTTTACTGTTTATTACTTTTCTTGTTGGCTTTCCTCTTGAACTTCATTTTTTGCCTTTTTGTGTTTCGGCCATGTGAAACATTTAATAGCATGCTTTTTGCTTCTGTTTTACTATATGTCCTTGCTGTAGTGGTACTATAAGAAACAACAAATTCTGTAGGTTGAACAATACTTGAGAGAAACAGTGATTCAGCTGTTAAGACTGTTGTGGGCAATGAGAAATCCAAAAAAGTACTCGAAAACCTGTATGTAAAGTTTAATTGCTGTAAAAAAAAAAAATAGAATGTCGGTGTCTGAAATGATTTGAAATCTATCCTTGATTTTATTTTTTTTAATTTCTTGACTTTTTTGTGTAATAGTTCAGCCAAACTTACAAAGGTTAGACTTGCAGTAAATATTTTCCTTTGTTGTGTTTCTTTGCATCTTCTTTTAACTTGTTCATTTAAAGTTTGCTTTTAAAAAATGCCCTTTTTTAAGAGCTCTTTCAGTTGCTAAATTGAATTGTGCAGATATAGTTTTTATTCAACTAAGTACTGAAACTAAATGGATTTGCTGTCCTCTCAGTTGCTTATTGAATATACTTCGTAGGTAACAGCTGCACACCAGTAGGAAACTGAACTTCTCGGTTTTGATGTTTTGCCATTTTTGAACAGGATATGGGTTGCTATCTCCCATCATGCCTTGTCAGTATCAGTGAGGTTAAGTGGTCCTGACAAGCCTGGGTGATTTCTGTGTCATTCTGATTGTGACCAGTTTGATTTGCATTGGTTTCCCCTGACTCCCTGGGGATAGCATTGAACCCACAGTGATATCTGCCATTTCTTCAGTCTCATGTTGCTCAGCTCTGATAAGACTTGACAATATTACTACCATCACATAAACTTTCCTTTACACTCATCTCAGTTCGTTTCCACAATGGAAACCCCCCTCTCCTGAATCAGACTTTGTTCATGTAGAGATCAAATTTTGCACGTTTTGTTGTGAGGGCGGTATGTTCAGCCAATTCAGTTACCTTCCCACCTCTCCCAAAGGTTCACCTATTGCCTCAACATGCCGCTTGTGACTGTGTATATTGTTTTCTAACAGTTAACGGAATAAAGTGCTGTTGTTGCTTGCTGGCTTACATCATTACTACTCTGCTGCTCGGGCCAATTTGAAACACTGCATGTTCGTAATGGCAATAACTTTTTTTTTTTTTTTTCTTTCATGATGGCATTAAAAGTTCTGTTGTTGAATACAATAGGTCCATCGCTGTTGAGCCTACATTTTATATAAATAATTATTAGTTGCATCTAATTGAAAAAAATGTATAAATAGGTGAACAAGTTAGCTTTTTCCATTCAAACCCAATGGTTGCATTTGCTTAAACTTACTAAAATCAAAACTTTGTTTTGACGTTGCTTTTATTCTTTACGGTTCACTTTAAATAATCAGAATTTATACTCAACTTCAAAGTAAAATAGACTGATGCTCTATCAGGAGTTTATCTGTTTTACAATAGTTGCCATTTTAAAAGCCGAGTTATTGTCAATATTTTTTCAACCAAAAAATAGAAATTTAAATTTTCCATGTGTCATCGAATGCACCATTAACAAACGTTAAATTAACAAAGCTAAACAGTGTTCATAATTTAAAATTAATCCACAGAAGCAACAGATGCAGTACTTGGCCCTAAGCTTAAAGAAAACTGAGGAACAAGTCCACGGTAAAGCAAAGGGTCCATGGAGGCCAAATGTATCACACAATGCAAGACCAACTGGTTTATCAACTGTCCATCTGGTCTCTGTACATTATTTTGTGTTTTTGATTTGTTTTTAATAAACTGGTCCAGTTCAGCATATTACTCAGAAAGAAATGGAGCCTAAAATATAGATTATTATGAATTATCAATGGCCAAAGTGCAAGTAATATATATTTCAGAAAAAATAATTAAATTCAGTTCAATTTATTTATATAGCACCAAGTCACAGCGGAAGTCATCTCAGGACACTGAACAGAAACATTCATTTACATACAAAAGGCAGTTACGGTAGTAAGTTATCTATCTAAGGAAGGAAGGAAGGCAGCAGACGCGTTGAAGCTTCACTTCATCGCAGTCTCTCATCCTGAGCATCCTGAAAAATGTTTGACAGTTTGTTTTTTTAAGTGCTAATCTGGGCTTGATTTGCTGGTGCTATTAGGTGCTTTTGCATCGCATCGGACCTATTCACAGTCCTTATAACATTTTGAGATGTTTTTTTTTTTCTTTTGCACTATTGAAACTGTGTTTACGGAGTCATTTTTAGCTCCTACTTCAGAGTAGGCACTTTCTTAGCTCCATATGGACTCCTGATTTATGTAAGGGGATGTGATTGAATCGTACATAAGTGTGTATTGATTGACCTAGCAGGTTAAACACTCATCCAGCACCTGCACCATTAAAACTACATTTGTATTACATTACGTAGAAGCTACTTACCTGTCGCTGTTGTCTACTACAATGTGCTCTTCTTTGAATGATTGCAGAACAAAGCAGACTGTCATACGAGTCTTGGTTCCTCTACTTCTTCCTTCTAAATATTTGTAGCATTCTTAAACGCCACTTCAAGAATTAAACCAAAAATCCACAACACACCGCTTCCACTTGTTGGTATTGGTGGATGTTGCTTGCAGGCATAGGTGATGTAGCCACGCTGACTGTATCTGATCACAGCGCTCCTCTTGGCAGTGCAAAAAAACAATATCTGGGTTATTTTAACTGCTTTGTAGCAGATCTAACGTTCTTTATAGCTCTCAGAAAGTCCTTAGTTTGGTCCAAAAGAACCCAATGTAAACTGTAAGCCTAAGGATCATTGACTGGTTAATGTTTTAATGTAATTTATATCCGTCCATCTCCATCAGGATATGCCTTTCAAACCTTATCTGCAGAGAAAATGCCTCAAAACTCAGGCTTTTTTACAAGGGATTTGGTACTGCAGGTTTGTATTTTTATCTACATTTATCTCAGGTAACTGTGACTTTTACAAAACAAAACAAAAAAAATCTCTTAAATTCCTAAATTTGAACAATGTTTTATGGATGTGTTTTTTAAAATGAATGTTATGAAAACAGGGATAGAGGGTAGTTTGTTAATGGAAGCAGCAGGTTTACGTCAAGTTTACTTTCCATGCTGGTGACGTTAAAATCAATACTTAAGGCAATATAAAATATACAACATCCTGTTTTATGGTGTTCTGTTTTAAGGGCATAGTGTGAGTCACACACCTAGGCTGGAGATCTGTATTAATCAATGTTTGGTTTAAATTTTAATTCTAATTTTTGCATAAAGTGCCATGTACATATTGCTTTCTTCCTGTATATTTTAGTTATTTTTATTTTTAGAAATTCTGCAATTTCATTTTTTATTTATTTTTTTTTTCTTCGCATTAAAGTTGTGTTCATAAGTTAATTACAAACACCTGTGAAATTCACAGTTTTCTCAGCTTAGGGTCCTATCTTGTAGGAGTACACATGCCATAGGAGATTAGTTGTGACTGATCTCCATGTTGTCAAAGTCTACTGTATTTTTCGCTGTATAAATCACGTTGTTTTTTTTTTTTTGCATAATTTGCATGACCTGCGACTTATAGGCCGAAGCGACGTATTGATGGATTTTTTCCCATATTTATAAACCAATTTTTGGCTGGGATATGACTGTTTTCATTAATTCTGACATTGAAAATATTGAACACTACCATTTTCAGCCACTAGATGGCAGTTGAGTATTATGGCATGCCGTTGTGTCATGTAATGCGTAAAAAGTGGCTATTAATGACACAATCGGCTTGCCATTGCCTGCCACCTATGTCCAGCTCGCCTGGAGCAAACGTCAAATCAGCTTCATTTCGCTGCACCGCCCCGGCAAAATGCAGCTGATTTGACCATTGAATTGCATTTATTAAGCAAAAGTTCAACTGAGACACACTTTTTCTATAAAGTCGAGCAAACAAATAATTATTTTTAGGTGGTTATCTTGTTAAATTTCGAAGAAATGAGCAGCGACTCGTCCTTCTGCACGTTTCTACTTCCGCTCATTGGCTTTTGAAATGCAGCTGATTTGACCGTTGAAGTGCTTTTGTTAAGCAAAAGTTGGACCGAGACACACCTTTGCTATAATTTCGAGCAAACAAATTGTTTTTAAGTGTTAATCTTGTTAAATTTTTGTTAAAGTCCTCCCGTGCACACTCCTGTGGCCACCATTTGGCAGTCAATCGATTTTTGGCACAACACAGGCCTACATGTCTGGGCTGTCAGCGGAGACGCGTAACAAATGCGACGCGTCAGCGGTGACTCGTAATGGATGCGACGTATACGGCGAAGCAACGTATTTATGGATTTTTCCACTTTATGAGACATATTTGGACTAATGCGACTTATAGGGCGGTGCCATGTATATGGTGGAAAATATGGTAAATCCCAAGCAGCTGTGAAATTGACAGCAGGAAAAAAAAACTTTTTTTTTTTTTACTTTTAAGTCTTCTTGTTTGTGCATTACTCTGTTGTTTGTGCATTACTCTGAATTGCTTAGATGGTTGTTCAATATAAGTGTAACGTGTACGTGCGTTTTATAAGATCTGTAAGTATATTGAACCAATTATTTAGAGTCAGAATGGCAGAAAGGAAGCCGTTGTCTCAGGGTCATTACCTGAGATGATTCCTTTTAAGAGATAACTTCGGCTACAGCATGAATCACTTCTTCCTTCCACTTATGCTTCCCTCCCCCCTTTGGTTTTTCCTGCTCTTTCTGTTTGGTTTGTTGCTAAATTGGTAACAGATGAATTGGTTCTGGTTCTGTCAATGTTTAAGCCTAGCTAATGGCTTATGCACTTAGCTGCTGACTGTGCTGATGGATATGTATATTTTCA